CTTACTATCTAATCAAATTTAAACACCCTTGGTTGCTGCAAACTACGCGCTCCCTCTTACAGAGCACCGCCAAGTGGCTGTGCGGAGTTTAGTGGCTGACTCTCGACGCTCAAACTCCCGCAAAAAGAGTTCTTCTTGCACCAAGTGCCGTACCTTCCACAAAGGTTCTAAAATTGCAAAACAATTCTATAATATTCTTTTGGGTGCCAATAGACAATATGTTGAGGATAGATTTTCATGTTTGGCCCTTTTAAGCGGTGCTGATATCAGTTTACACTACTCAGAGGACAAGGAAAGAAATTCTTTTTTGAACATTCTCTCGAGAATCAAATTTCATTGGTAGTCTCTCTACAGTCCTAAATGTCAGCTGGCACGGTTGACTGCAGAAACTGGTCGGACATGACACTGTGTCCGGTACCTTCATTATCGTGGCAGTGCTATGTGTGGGAAGTTACGTCGGAGTCGAATTTTTGGCTGGGCGTTGCCCATCCCCAAAGTCCGACTTGCGATCGCAAAGTGCGCCTATCAATGAGATCATGTGATAACAAATGGGCACCCCCCAGTGCTCCTCGTTGCGACTCAGGCTCGTCGTATTTAGAGCGAGGGTACCGATCGCTGTTGAGATCATGTTCAAGAAACCTCTAGCCGATCTCAAGACTTCCGCACCGATTCGTAGCTCAGATCGCCGGAAGCTCAAGCAGAAAGTTGTGCAGACGTTCGGGCTTCAGGCGGAGGAGGGCGATCTCCTCGTGCCGGAGGGCTTACAATCCGTGAAATTCAGTACCCATGTGGGGGAGCATGGGGTGAGTGGCATACTCTAGCTGTTGTTAACTAGATTTGATTATGTTTTGCCATATTCAGATCGCATACCTCGCCGCTGAGGGAGATCCCCTGTGGTTCACCATTGGGAAAGGAAGCGAAGAACTCATACCAACCGGTACGCATTGACGCTCAATTCATGTTACAACAACTCTGACCGAGAAAATCTCTCAGTTTATACTCTATGGAAACAACCTCGACTCCTCCCATTCCTGTCAACCCCGTCGGCTGTAATCCCAGTACTCATCGGAGGCGCGGACCTCATGATCCCAGGAAGTGAGCTTTCATTCCGTGTAATTTTGTTCAACCTCGTCTCTGACCCTCGCGACTTAAGCAAGTCGTCCAACACTCTTCGAACCTCGCACCTAACCAACTGGTCTCCGTAACACAATATCACGCAGGAAAACTAGGGTATCCACTCGGCGTTGGTCGCATGGCCGTTGGCAGCGATAAGCTGCAATCCGAAGATGGCAAAGGAAAGGGCGTGCTTATCCTCCACACATGGAAAGATAAGCTATGGGATCTTGGTTCGAAGGGCGAACCACCGGAGCCTATGGATATAACCACCCCTGTTGCCACAAGCGAGCAAGGAGGGCAGGACGGATCCGCCCCAACTGCGAACAACCCGAATTCCGTAGATGGAAAGGCCCAAGAGACGGAGACTGATCCGAAGCAGGAATCGACAGAGGGGCCATTAACTCCTGAAGGTAGGCGTTATGGCCGTGATTGTCGTCCTAACGCTCACGGCTTGCAGAGGTATCTTCGATCCTTCGGACGGCTCTACTGCAAGCTATCCAGACCACCCTATCTCAAGTACCCTCCTCTACCTTCCCGATCCCTGCCACCACGTTCTATACGACGTATTTACTACCGCACCGCCCCAGCTACTCTCCGAGTCCGACATCTGTCGACATCAAGCATTCTGCGTTCAAATCGCTCTCGGCTTTCTTGAAAGCTTGCGAGAAGGATGGCATGCTGTCTCTCAAGCAGGTGAAAGGCGACTACGTGATCACCGGCGTGAAAGCGGACCATCCCGACGTCGCCGGTCACCACGCGTACCGGACGCTGAAAATGGAAGAAGAGAAAAAGGAGAAACGCGAGGCGCGCGAGAAGGAAGAAGGAGCCAAGAAGGGCAAAGAGATGGTCGTCGTGGAGCTGTGGAAGCCGCATCAGGCGACCATACGGCTGTTTGAAGAGGCCGGGAAAGAGTACGGCGATGGACCAGTGATGCAAACCTTGGCTGACGAACTCTATGCGCAGCCCATCCGCAATGTACTCGTTGACGGACATCAAGACGATCCTAAACGGCTACGTTGCGGCGAAGAACCTCGTGAACCAGCGCGAGCAGCAATACATCAATGTGTCCGTTGACGATGTCCTCGCCGGGGCCCTCTCGTCGAAGAACGCGCCACCTCCGGACTTCATGAAGCGAGAAGATATCTGCAAGTTGCTGTCGGAGAAGATGCAGGCGTGGTACAAGCTCCAGCCTGAAGGAAAAGACGTAGTTGTCAAGTAAGTTTACGTTCATTTCCTCGCGAGCGCATCCGGTGTGTTACGCACACATGACGGCGTTGTCGTGAGGCTCCGGTGGTGCGCTATGTTTCCGTGTGCCAACATGCCGTAACAGCTTCCATATACCCTCGCAGCATATGCTGACGGGTAACTTGCGCAGGAAGGGACAACTACGACCGATATCCGTGCAAGTGAAGATCCGGCAAGGCCGCAAAGCATGCACCCTCATTACGGGGTTCGAGCCGTTTTTGTTAGACGCTGACGAGCTCGCAGAGGAGCTGCGTAAATCATGCGCGTCGTCGACCGCAGGTGCCGTGCTCCGTTCCTCATGGCACCTCTATGAGCGCTAACGTACAAGTTACACAGTGGCACCGCTTCCGGGGAAGAACGCGGGCCTGGAGGTGATGGTGCAGGGTAAACAAATGGGGCCGGTGGCAGGATTGCTACAGGCTAAAGGCGTACCGGCGCGGTGGATCGAGACCGCGGACATGACTGCCAAGAAGAAGTGAAGGGGCCAGCTGGGAGCAGATCAAAGGTAAGCACTGCCGAGTCACCGCCTACGATTTGATTTCAACCCGTCACTTGCCTTCTAGAGACGCGAGCGAAAGTGTTGCTGGCTATGGGCCGGGAAATAGACCATAGCTATGAGAACCTTGCTCGGCGTGTACGATAGGCGCTGCCTGCAGTCGAATGGAAGTACAAACTGAATTGTAGTCTCGGTTATGGTCGGCGCCGCACTATTACAGACGATAAAAAGGGCTATGAATGGACTCGCAAAAGCGGCCCGTGACGTTCCCAATTGGGTCAAGTCTTAAGGTACGTCTCCCGCTGAGCAATCTGGCGGTCATGCTGAAGATGGGTAGATGCAATCGTGTGACGATGAAAGCATGCGAATTTCAACACACTAGATATCATCGAAGAAGGGTCTTCTGCGATGCTCAGCCAACATAGAGTGTCGCCATTCCAATCTCCGAAGGACGCAGACGGCCCTGCAGGAACGTATCGGTCAACGCTCGCACGATGGTGGACGATCCAGGGGCAAGCCCCAGGCAAGAGACCTAGGCGCAACTAACTAAGGACCACCGAAACTGAATGAACGTAACACGACACGACGAGCGATGCTGGCGCCGGAGCGGAGAAGGCTACAAAACCTCCCGCAGCTTCTCCTCTGAAGGTTCTATCTTCAATGCGAATACCGTGCACGTGTGAGGCGAGAAATCATATGTTTTCAGCGTGCCGCAGTCATCTCTATCTGTCAGAGGCCTCTCCCCTCGCGACAAGGATCCACGAAGGGTTTTAGATTATCGTATATCCAAGCCGGCCAGAGAGCGTCCCGTTCACTGGTAACACGTGACCACCTTGGGCGTTTCAGTGGCATTGGTTTGGCGCACCCCGATCGCGTCGCGTCTTTCACTGTCAGAATCGTCCAGTCGGCCGTTAGGACGAGCGAACTCAGTGACCGCCGTGACGATGTTCAGCAAACCGTTGGGCAGCCTGAAGACCACCGCGCCCGTCCGGAGCTCAGATCGTCGCAAGTTGAAGCAGACAGTGGTGCAAACGTTCGGGCTTCAAGCGGAGGAGGGCGATCTCCTCGTACCAGAAGGTCTGAAGTCCGTGAAGTTCACTACGCATCGCAAGGAGCGTGGAGTAGGTAGCATGCAGGTAGTTGACTTCGATAGCCCCACCGAGCCTTGCTATTTTCTCAGGTCGCATACCTCGCAAGTGATGGAGATCCATTATGGTTCACGATCGGGAAAGACGAAGATTTGATACCAACCGGTACGTGCAACTTGCGCGTATCTACTACATCCATGCCTCTAAATCGTCGAAACTGTAGTCTACACTCTCTGGAAACATCCTGGACTACTTCCGTTCTTGACCACCACGCCAGCCGTTATTCCGATTCTCATCGTTGGCGCAGACCTTAGGATCGCAGGAGGTGAGCCTACGCTCGACTACCGCGCTTCGGAAATCATGGTTTCTTATACACGAACCAAACAAGTCGTCCGACACGCCCCTACTCTCGCTTCTAAGCAATTGGTTTGTGTGAACGAACATCACGATGGCAAGCTTGGATACCCGCTGGCCGTTGGGCACATGGAAGTTGACAGCGACAAACTACGGTCTGAAAATGATAAAGGCACAGCGGTGCGCATCCTGCATACTTGGCAGGACGAGCTGTGGGCTCTCGGTTCTAAAAGAGGACCGCCTGGACCAATGGATCGAACCACATCTGCTCACGAGAGCGATTATGAAGAACAGGATAGATCCTCGCACTCGGGAGATGAGTCAAGTGATGCAGAAGACAGTGCCTCAGATTCCGAGTCGGGGTTGGACGAGGAAACGGAAGTAACACCTCTGACTCCTGAAGGTGGGCGCCGTGGTTGATGGTGTTGACCGTACGCTCACGGCTTGCAGAGGTCTCTACCATCCTTCGGTGTGCTCTATTGCAAGCCATCCAAACGACTTTGTCCCAAGTGCCCTCGTCGACCTTCCCCATTCCGGCCACCACGTTCTACACAACTTACATCCTTCCCCATCGCCCAAGCAACATTTTGAGCCCAACGCCGATCGATATCAAACACTCTGCGTTCAAATCGCTCTCCACCTTTTTGAAAGCGTGCGAGAAGGACGGCCTATTGTCTCTCAAGCCGGTGAAGGGCGACGTCGTGGTCACTGGCGCGAAAGCGAATCATCCGGAAGTTCTTGCTCATCTCGCGTACCACACTATAGAAATGGAGGAAAATGAGGAGAGGCGCGTGGCTCGCGAGAGAGAGGCAGAAGCGAAGAAACCCAAGGAGATGGTCGTTACGGAGATCTGGCAGCCGAACGAGGCGACTGCGCGTCTGTTCGAAGAGCTCGGGAGGGAGTAAGTCGGTGATTTCAGTAAGGAGTTTCTTTCTGACAGAACATTATGTAGGCCGTCCGCCCTGTACTCGTCCACGGAGATCGAAGCGCTCGTGAACGATTACGTCGCGACCAGGAACTTGGTGGACCCCCACGATCAACAGTCCGTCAACGTGTCCGCAAACGAAACTCTTGCTGGCGTGCTCTCGTCCAAGAACGGGCCACCCCCAGACTCCATGCAACGTGCGGATATCTGCAAATTGCTGGCGCAGAAGATGCAGCCGTGGCACACGATTCAGCCGGAAGGCAAGGCTACCGTGACCAAGTAAGACTTCGTTACTTTCTCCTCCTTATACCCCCAAGCGTGTTTCAGAGTGGAGATGGAAGCAGCTATACACTCGCTATAGGCGCCTGTGGTGCGTTGTGCGCTCCGTGTAGTGGCATGCCGTAAAGTTCCATACCACCTTCCAACTGACGCTGACCGGGTATATCGTTTCGCAGGGAGGGACAACTGAGACCGATCTCCGTGACAATCCCCGCGCAAGTGAAGGGCCGCCCAGGCGGCAGATCGCGCACGCTTATCACCGGATTCGAGCCGTTCCTGCTCGACGCTAACGAGCTCGCCGAGGCATTGCGTAAGTCCTGTGCGTCGTCGGCCACAGGTAGGTCTCGTCTCCTAGGTTTCCCGTCGCATCTACCGAGGGGTTAACGTTCAGTATCACAGTGAAACCACGTGGTGGCAAAGATGAAGCGTCGCATGTGCTAGTGCGGGGCAAGCATATCAAACCGGTGGTGGACCTGCTCCAGGCGAGGGGTGTGCCAGCGCTGTGGATCAAGCACCCGGCCATTCCGCCTAAGAAAGGAAAGCAAGGGAGGACAGATCAGGGTGAGCGCTCTGCTATTTACAACTCCGCTGTATCCCAAGCCGATACTTGCCTTGCAGGGTAGAGAGCGAAAAGCTCAGCGTGTACGATAGGGACTGCTTCGAGGCGAATGGAAGTGCGAGATGATATCCAGCCGCTCATATTCGGGAGTGTGATTCATGAATGGCCTTGCAAGCGCCCACACCTGTTGGCTCGCACGACGCACAAGCTTGAAGTACGGCCGGCCCGTGCCAGTGCACCCGCAACCTTCCGGAGTGGGTCAAGTGAGACCACGGAATGAGGGAGATCGCCGAGAACGCCGACACTGGATACAGGTAAGCTAAGTATGATAGAACACCGTGCTGCTCAGCCCAGCACGACTTCACGACGCTTACGATTGCACCGACGAATCCGCGTTGACACCTATCTCCACGAATCAGGACTCTCGTATAAGAATTCAGATAGTAGCATTCCACCCTGCTCTTTGGTGCGAAATCCGTGCGTACAGTCTTCCTCTTCTTCTTCTTCTATTCAAATATTTTTTGGCGTCGTTGGTAAAGCCGTGCACACGCTCATGTCCGCCCCTCTTCCTCGCAGAGCAAAAAAAAAACGAAAAGATTCTCGTACGAATCGTCGAACGACCCTCTTCACGGGTGCCGTCACTACCGCCGGCAGAGCACACCGACTTCCACCCCCCGTGTGACCGCGAGCTCGGCCCAGTCAGTCGAGCGTGATGGGCACCGCCATCCCCATCGCCGGGCATGGACCCGCGGGCCAGTTCAGAGCGCCTGGCGGCTACTTCGCGTCCACCGGTACGAGCACGACCACCAGGGCTGTTGCTGCTGCTGCTGCTGCTAAAGCGACGAGGATCCCGGCAGTCCACCGCGAACGCGGGTTCGGCAGCACGGGAGAAAGGGGAGGGGGGGGGTTCGTGGCGACGCTGCCGAGGCGAGAACGCGTGGGACGCCAGGGTGCACGGGCGGCTATGAAGGAGTCGTTCTTGTTCTTGATACGTTGTGACTTTGGATGACGGCGCCGGGAGCCAGCCCAGGGGATCCGACGAGCCCGGGTTGGATATGTAGAGCATGGAGTAAGATAGATCACAACGTTGGTCCTGGGCTGCGTGCCGGTGGGCGCGGGGTTCGTTTTGCGCGGGGTGGTGATGGGCGCGTCAGTACTGGCCTACTACCCTTGCTTGACGTTACGCAGCCCAAACACGGCGTAGGGCGAGGCTGATGGCCCGTCGAACGGCCGAAATATCTATCTGTGGAGGCCTGCGAGAAAACGCGAACCGCCCTTCGTTTCCCGTGTGTTACATGTTACCGTTAATAGCGTGATCTCAACCTCGAAGCGTCGTCGCTTTAGGACAATGGGGCTCTCAATGGTCGCGCAAAACGTGCTCACGAACGGAGTGGTGTTTTGCAATTATTCGGGACTGAATTCGCGATGCTGCTCGCACACGTGGAACGCGCCCGGGAGCTCTCTGCGGACATGTTCTGAACTTTCGCTTGGCAATGGTATGTACTGTAAGTTTCGTTCTTCTGGGGGGCCACGTGCCATGGGAACTGATATCGTTGGCTGCGTCAACTCGCCGCGCGCCGTAATTCTGTAATTCGAACCTTGACCACGAATGTCGTCGGTTGTATGTAAAAAACTGTGCACTGCGCCCCTGCGGTTCGGTGTTTGGTCGTATCCTTCAATCCCCGCTTCCCGTTTTCGCCATTCTGTCGCGAACCGTGAGGTTTGAGTTTCATGGGATATCCACACGGGGACTTGATACTCGGGCGGTTTCTGTACTCGATTCATGGGGAGCGGCAAGACGGGGTTGTGTTATGCCAAGAAGTGAGCGTGTGAAGATACCGCTCCGAGCTCCGACCCGGGGGCACAGCCAAAGAGCGTGACCGGAGAAGACAAGTAGTCTCGAACCTACCGCACGAGATAGGTAGGTTCAAACGGTTCGAGGGGGGGGGGGGGAATTAATGAAAGGGCCGGCTGCTGCCGCC